GAGAGAGAGAGAGAGAGAGAGAGAGAGAGAGAGAGAGAGAGTACTTGCATCAGTGGGCTTCCCCCAAATCCCCCCCTTTTGTCCCATCCTGGCCCTGATGCTATTGGGAGATATCAGGTCTACCCCCTTAATCTCCTTTGGAACCCCCTCACATGATACCCACCACCTTGCTTCCTTGTCTCAGAACTTCTTAGCCCCACCCAATTTGACAGGCAAGATTCGTCATCAAAAAGCCCAAAGCTCAGCTCCAACCTTCCCAGTATGCACAGATGCTGCCTCCCCTGCTTTTACCAAAGGAGACTCTGGATGTGAGAATCTGTTGTCTGCTAGAAAAGGTTGCACCAACAATGCACAGCACTGCAAAAACTCAAAGAAAAGGCATACCCCTGAAATAATGGCCAGAATCATTAAGCATGACTAAAGCGATGCTTCCTTTGATTTGAGGAAGTACTAAGTACACCACTGAGTAAAACACACTGGGAATTAAAAGTGAAAGCCACTGTATCTCTGAAAATACAGTGTGAGTGCAAGGAAATCCTATACAATGAGAAGGAACTGTAGGGCTGAGTCCTACTGGTCGGTGAAGGGTTAATGGCAAATTCCTAAGAGGCAGGAATGTTCCTCAAACATCTGAGCAGCCACTCCCAAAGTCTTTAAATCAGATTCAGAGTGTTAGGCAATGGTCATATGATAGTTAATCGGGGATGTAGAGTTACTAAGAGCAAAGCCTCTGGGCTGATGTGTGAGGGATTATCTAGGTTAGGATGAGGTGGGAAGACCTGCTCTAAATGTAGGTGGTGCTAATCACTAGGCTCTCAGACCACGTAAGAAACAAAAATGTGGGGCCAGTGGGGATGGCTCAATGTTAGGTGTGCTTGCCACCAAGCCTGACCACCGGAGTTTGATCCTCAGAACCCACACGAGAAAAGAGAGAACCGACTCCCACAGATCACACAAGAAATGACTAATTGTAAAAAAAAATAAATAGAAATGAGCACTCTGGCTGAGCAAGTGCATTCTGAGCAAGTGCGTTCATCTCTCTGTATTCTACTGGGGATGCAATGTGACCAGCCACCTCAAGCTCCTGCCTCCGGGATGTTCTCTCATAGTGGGCTGCACCCTTCTCAGTCTGTGAGCCAGAATAAACCATTCTCTTTCGGTCAGGTATTCAGCCATAGCAACGAGAAACATAACAAATACAGACGATGTTCAGCCTAAGTTGTTTTGGACCTTGGCAACCAGCACCTCCTGAGATCCAGCCGGAGCTCTGCCATGGTTTGAGTATGAAATGGTTCCATAAACTCCTGTTTGAACTTTTTGGTCCCAGCTGGTGGCACTGTTTGGAAAGTTGTGGCATCTTTAGGAGATGGAGCCTCACTGGAGGAAGTGGGAGGAGTTTGGGGTTTTCTAGCCCGGTTCTACTTCCTACCTACCCTCTGCTTCTTGACTGTGGAGGCGATGTGAGCAGCCAGCTACCTCCTGTTCCTGTCGCCATGCCTTCCCTGCCACGAGGGAGGAGCCATGAGCCAAAATTACCCTTCTTTCCTGAAGTTGCTTCTCACCAGGTGTTTGGTCAGAGCAACAACAACAACAACAACAAACAAAAAAACATACACAGGCTCTCGCTTTTCCTTGGCATGGGTGGTGGCTTCCTGAGTGCACCTCCGTGCAGGTGGAAACGTTCCCTTAGTTCCTAGTTTGTCGCTTCTCCACTTTAACTCTGTCGAACTTGTTTGTAGCTCGAGTGTTTCTGGTCCTACCTGGCCCACAGTCAGGACAAATCTCTCTCACCGGCCACTCAGTCCCAACCAAGTAAACACACAGAGACTTATATTGCTGGTTTAACTCAACAGCTTTTACGATCAAATGTTTTTCTGCAGTTAAAAATCCCAAAGACAACACAATCCAGATTCTCTGTGTAATATCCATCTTTATGTGGCTTATTTTTTATACTACCTTTACTGTCTCTTTAAAGACTTTATTTTTAAAAACTATTTCTTGATATAACTGTATATATTGCGAAGCTTGAAACCCAAGACAGCAGCCCTTCCTCGGCCACGAACAACGCTGGCCTGTGAAACTCACTAGGGCTCTTTGAAGCACGTGGACTCCGTGCCCGTGTAAATATAGTCAAGGGCATTCCTGTAGATGTAGTTCCTGGAGATGTGGCCTGTGACCCTACAACTGTAATTAGGACTTTTTCTTTCTAGAACCCCCTTGTAATTTCATCCAGCAGATAATACAATGACATTGTGATTTCTCAGGCATTTTTCTGGCATTCGGAAGCTTGTGGCAATGGAAATTTGGAGTCCCAGGGTGCACTTGGCCTCATGTACTTTTATGGGCAGGGGATCCGCCAGGACACCGAGGCTGCCCTGCACTGCTTACGGGAAGCAGCCGAACGAGGGAACGTTTACGCCCAGGGCACTCTGGTGGAGTACTACTACAAGATGAAGTTCTTTACCAAGTGTGTTGTCTTCTCCAAAAGGTGACTGTCTCCGTTCGTTTTGTGTTGCTATCCCACCATCACAGATGGGTGGCTCATAACCAATAGAAATTGTTGCTCACATTTCTGTAGCCCAGATCAAAGTTCTGAGAAGTTCAGTAGGCTGGTGAAGCTTTCTCCAGAGGGACGGGGGGGGGGGTCCTCATATGCAGGGTGTTGAAGGGCAGCCCCCCTCCCTGGAAGGTTGTATGCAACCTTCTAGAGAAGGCCTTAATGCCATGCATGAGGGAGGCCCTTGTGACCTAAACACCTATTAATTGTGTGGCACTGGCAATACATGAATGTTTCAGGGGACACATTCAAGCCACAGTAATATTTGAATAATGAGTAGAGGTATTTACAAGTACTTGGTGTTATGCCAGATCTGTCCCACAGAACTTTCTTCAGGGTTGAAATGACAGCCGTCCAATGACCTTAAATTGCAACCGAAGACTGAAATTTTAAACCAGTTAAAATTTAAGTGATAGCCAGTATGGCTAATTCTGACCATATTGAAAAGTACACTTCTGTACCATTCCCCTTCAGGATTTCAGAGCTCTTAGCTGAAGTGGGTTTCTCAGTGTAAATGGACACATTAGAAATGCCTATTAAGAAATTTTAATCTCTTCCTATATTCCCTTCTATACACAGAGTTCTATCTCTGTGTGGTTGAAATGAAGCTTCGTGATTGGGGTATTGTTCGAAGACTTACACGAATGTCTCATGAACTCTTTGGAAATTTTCTGAGTCCCTAAGGCCCCATTCTGTTGCCTACATATATTTATCCAGACCAGGACAAACAGTCCAGGGCACTCTAGAGTGGCCACCATCCAGACCAGGACAAACAGTCCAGGGCACTCTAGAGTGGCCACCAGACTACGGGTGTGCTGTCCATAGTTCCAGACATGCTCCCACCCCCCACCCCAGGGAGTGACAGAGATGGAGAGGAAAGCAAAAGAGAACAGTTTCCCCTTCCCCTCCTGGACATCTTAGCTTCCAGGCAGCAGGTCACTGACGGGGCCAACTCTGGTATTCCCAGCAAGTGCCCATCCTGGCTAAGATTCCGAACAGTTCTTTTTTTTTTTTTTTAAAGATTTATTTATTTATTATGTATACAGAGGAGGGCGCCAGATCTCATTACAGATGGTTGTGAGCCACCATGTGGGTGCTGGGAATTGAACTCAGGACCTCTGGAAGAGCAGTCGGTGCTCTTAACCTTTGAGCCATCTCTCCAGCCCGAACAGTTCTTAAAAAATGTATTGCATTGATTCCTTTGTTTGTTGTGTGTGCATATGCACACTACATGGCATCCATGTGAAGGTCCAAGAGCAACATGGTTGCATCCTTCCACTATGTGGGTCTTGAGGATTACTTTAAACTCGGATCCTCGGGACTGGTAGTCAGAGCCTTTGTCTGGTGAGCCAGCTCCCAAGCCTGAACAGATCTTTAAAGGTTTCAGAACTTAGCATCATTTTTCACATTCCTATTCCCCCTAACATCGTAGCTAACATGGAGTCAGCTAGATCTCCTTCTCATGTAAGTCCTCATATTCATGTACAGTTTGCAATGGCTGGTTTTTCCCTTGCACATTTTTCAAGATAAATATGCTAATTTCTTACCGTGTTAAAGCAGGCCTGTGTGATGACTGTCTAGACCTAAGGTTGATGTTTCAGTGGCTGATCCAAGGGTGCCATGTTCTAGAACAGCTTGGATCCTGGGACCCTGGCTAGGGACAGTGAGGAAATAAAAGGACAGACATACAGACACATGTATAATGTAGCTAGGTTCTGGTGGGATTCTGCTACCACCTCAACCCAGACCTCAGCGTGTTGTTTTGGATGGAGGTCTCTGTAGGGAGCAGTTTCTCCAGCTGTAAACACCTGGAGGAGGAAGCAGCAGTTGCTGGTCTTTGCACACAGTGATCTGCCATCTGCAAGCACTCATACTTGGACGCCTAAAAAAAGCTTTACCATTTCTTTCCATTGGGCCACTCTGGCCCAATGAGTAGTAACAGCTTTACCAACTGTCCTATGGGTCCGAGGCCTTGGAGTTTCCGACACGGCTGTGCCCATGTCAAAATACACATTCCCTCAGGACTTCACTCACCCAGGGCTTCCTCTGCCCCCTACATAAGGGAACACAGGATTCTGTTTTATCCCCTACTCGATTGGTCCACAAGATGATATTATGCTTAAAATATTAATAAGAACCAAATTTCCCTAGTGGCTAATCCCTGTGAGTATCTCCACAAGGAAGCTCTGGGCTAGTTCGTCCTTCTCTGCTCTTAGCAGATGATATTACATAACTTCCCCACACAGCAAATTTCTCAAAAGGGTAGGGACGTCACTTTGAGCACAGACTTTCCACAGGCTGTTCTGTGTAAACGTAAAGCATGGCTGACGTCCCTTTTTAAAATTCCCCATCCCCTCAGGATAGCGGACTACGACGAGGTACACGACATCCCCATGATAGCCCACATCACGGACTGCCTCCCCGAGTTTATCAGCAAAGGCATGGCCATGGCGTCGTTCTACTATGCTCGGTGTCTCCAGCTTGGCTTGGGTGTTAAGAAAGACGAAGCGGCTGCCAAACACTACTATTCCAAAGTAAGCCTGGGGAGGAACTAGAGACTGGCCTAGCCGGAAACCGCGGCCTTTTCCTTGGGAGGTGAACGGCTCTCCGTGGTTGTTTTCTATCACTCTGCAGATCACCTGTCTATGCATAGGGAGTCTGGGCAGGTTGCACCTGGTAGATTCGTACCAGCATAATTAAGGTCAGGTGATAAAAGTCCCCTTTTGGCGTGAATTGGTCTCCTTAAAATGGGCTGCCACCTGCAAAGTAAGGCCTATCATTGTCCTTGCAGTCTAAATGCTTGTGTCTTCACCTAACAAACAAAAATTAAACCTACATCTTTACTCTAATATTGGAGTTAAATGAACGTTGTAAAGCAGTAAACCCAGGACAGTTTCATGAGTATGAGATAATCAGTAACCCTCACATTTTAATCCACATAGTCACTTTCAGGTGGGGCTGAGAATGTGCGGGGAGATTGTAATAGAAACTGCAGTGAATTTAGAAAAACAAACAAACTGTGCATGCTTTAGGTCCATGGTGTTCATAAGCACAAATCAGAATGGCATCATAATTAACTCTGTATGTAGTTCTGTGGTCAAGGACTTGATGTGCAGCCCAGGCTGGCCTGGAACTCATGGCAATCCTGTCTCTGTGGGCCCCGAAGATTCTGGAATTAGAGGCTAGTGCCAGGCCTTATTTTGGAAGAATTCATTCGCAGTCTCTGGGAATGGGATACCACCATACCTGCCAAAGCTCTCTAGAGTGTTCTAGTATGCACACATGTTTAGAAACATGAGCTATGGGGCTGGGAAGATGGCTGAGAGGTTAGGGGCACTGGCTGTTCTTCCAGAGGTCCTGAGTTCAATTCCCAGCAACCACATGGTGGCTCACAACCATCTGTAATGAGATCTGGTGCCCTCTTCTGGCCTGCA